GTTTGTCCAACACACGAGGAAAGCACAACATTGTGTTCAACGACCACGTTGTTCATATTGGAGCTAATCCGGAATCTATGCAAACAAGGTGAGCTCGAGTCATTACCGTTGGGGTTTTAAGTCTAATTAAACGGCTTAATCGAAGTAGGGATAAGTCAAAACACAATGACTAAAATGTCTCTCAAAAAAAAAGAAACGTTTTTCAGCCGAGTCTGCAACCACGAAGGAGCATTTTCATGTATCTAAGGTGGCTAGTTAACACATACAAAGTTTCTGGCTAATATTTTAGTGTTTTCATAATATCTGGCCTAAAACAATTCATAGAAATATGACCTCTTAAATTATTGAACTTATTTTTCAGTTCTAGTTTGGAAGTTATGAGTACAACATATATTGCCCCCAACCCCATTCCCATACCCAACCCCATCCCTCATCTCTAATCTCCTATCTCTTACCTCTATCTCTAGTCTATACAGCCGGTTTCACCAACACTTGTTAAGAACTTAACTTGTTGTTAATGATATTTAACAATTAGTTAGTGAAAAATGGATTTCATCGAGATTTGTTAGCCTTAACACATTGTTAAAAAGATCGTTAAATTAATCACTCAAAATCGGCTTGTTAAAAAGTTAATCGGCATGTTAAAATGTATTGTAGTACTTATATATAATATTTATATTATTATAGTTCAGAAATTGTTTTATAATTTTTGTCGATTGAATAAATTAGTAATATATAATAATGAATTACACGTTTGATGAGGAACTTATTTATTATTATTATTGAGTATTTAGAAAACAATAGAAAAAACAACTTCGAGAACTCTTTATTAGGTAAGTAAAAGTTATTTTATGTAGGTAAATTAGGTAAAAAGGAATGGTATAGACTTATATTATAAGTTCAAATATCATAATTTATTGTATTTTGTAATTTAGATAATATTATTATGTCTTGTCTGTTCTGAGTATAACAATGGAAATAATTCTTATCACTACTTACTTTTTTTTTAGGCTTTCAAAATAGAAAAAAATATTTTAATGACCATTAAACGATGTGCTAAAAAATTATACATAAATTATTTATATAAACCGCGCAACATTAAAAGAAAGTAAAATTGAATGCCAAATAACAACAAACTGACAAATCGAAAAATACAATCACTTATCAGCTATCACATATTTTAATAACCAATGAGAACGTTGCAATCGAGGTAACCGCTTTGGTAACCCAACTAACGTTTTGTTAACTTAACAAATATAATTTAACAATAATAATGTTATGGTGAAACTCATTTTATTTAACCAGTTGTTAAATTTAAATTAAATGTTACCTAACATTGTGTTAGTAGTTTGTTTAACAATAGTTGGAGAAACCGGCTGGTTATCTCATATTTCCTATCTCTAATCTCTCATCAGATAACAGCGTGACGCTTTTCTGGTTATGTGCCAGAGCAAAGACATGAAAATCTGATTGGCCAAGTGACCGTGTCTTGTCAATCTATTAGGCTTAACTCCATCTGGACTTTAGGTATGTGGGGGGGGGGTGGTTGGCGGGCGGTCAAGCGAAATTACTACCCCTAATCTCTCATCTGCAATAACAACGCTATGGCGTGGCGTCTATTAGTCGTTCGCGGTCCTGCTATTGTAATACTTATATTATCGCGGTACACTGCAGAGGGCCGGACGGGGGGTGGACGGTCGCCAGATATTATGCTCGGGGATGCATGAAAACAACATGTATAAATAATTGCGTGATGTACACACAGACACACACACACGGTGCTCGAGCGAGGGCAATTCGACTGGAAGAAAAAAATGAAAAAAAAAGTCAGAACCGTAAATCATTACAGAGCCGGGAAAAAGTAGCGGATAGGAGGGGCAGGGGAGGCAGGGGAGGGGGTGCCCAAATGAGACGTAACTTTTGCAAAATAAACGGCAAGACGCGCTCGCCGGAGAGTGCGAAGACGGGTGACGGAGATAGGGTGGAGAAAAAGTTTTCCACCCTCTCTATCCACGCGCGCCCCTCCGTTCTTTTAATCTGCTTATTAGAGCCATTCATACACACACACACACAGCGCGCACAATAGCAAACTATATAATAATAATAACAACAATACGAGAGCTCGTTGGAGTTTGTACAAAAAGCCAAAGGAATTCCACACCGAAAATATTACACTGTGCTGTATGCTCGCACGCCGTGACAGAAATTGTGTCGCACCCTTTAGGATGATAAAATATTGTAACGCCTGTCACTAATAATACCGTCGCTCGAGATGCAAAACAAAATCAGAAGTTGGTCACACTGTTTTATTTCTATTCGCGCGGCAAATCCATTGGTATCGATAGATAACGCTATAACTGATAACGTTGTTATCGTACCTTCAAAATGACAAAAGCCTTTGTTAAAAATATTACCAAAAAACTAAGTCGAATCAATAAAGTTAATTTTTAACCAAAAACATAGTTGGCACGACTAATACAAGGGTCGAATAAAATTCTTTGGTAACTAACACAATCCTAGATTCGAACAAAAAATCGTGGGAATATAAATATAAAACTAATAATATCAATAAAAAATACAGTTAAAACATTTTTGTCACAATATATTTTTTAAACACATCAAACCGAGAATTTGTCGCACCCTTTAGGATGATAAAATATTATAACGCCTGTTACTAATAATACCGTCGCTCGAGATGCAAAACAAAATCAGAAGTTGGTCACACTGTTTTATCCCTATTCGCGCGGCAAATCCATTGGTATCAATAGATAACACTATAACTGATAACGGTGTTATCATTTTATAGAATGGTACTTGAAAATAATCTTTTTCTCTCCTATAAAGTTGAGACAAATAAGATGGTGGTGGTTTGCATATCCTAACCGACGGTATTGCACGACAATACTGCTATTTGGTCACGTGCCGGTTAAATCAATTTGGATTCGGTTTCGACGGAACTAATTACCATAGTTGACCTATTCAAATTTTGGCAAACTATTTAGGTTAGGTACACAAAGAGCGAAATGGTGTACAAAATCACTTGAACGCAAAATCACTTTCCAACATAAACAGATTGACAGAAGGGCAATATAAATATCAAATGTTGCCAAAGAATGTACACTGGAGTTTTTGTAATATTAAAAACAGCTGAATTTATTAGTATTTTTATGAAAAAAATGTACAATATGTATGTGTGTATTTATATAAATGATAATACACCTACCTACGTTTATATTTTATCAATTAAAGCTAGATGTATTTAATAAAAAATTATATAAATTTAAAAAAACGCTATACTACCTACATTATGTAGGTATGTATGCTGTTGGAAAAAATTAACAGTGAATTATTTCAACTAAAAAATAGTTTGAAACGATTAACATTATTTTTTAGCAGTCGACAGGCGTTTTACACAAAACAGTTAAATTATTTGCAGAATACAAATATTTTTTTTTATTAAAAAAGTACTAATCCAATACTTGACATAGTATTAACAATAATAACTGAAGCTCGGGCTGACAAAATTTAATGAATAACCTGAAATGTAAATATAATATAAATTAAATTCGATAAAGCTGAAAATATCAATATATTTTTTAACTGCAATTAACCGTTTACGATTAAAATTGAATTTTGCGTAATACACATTTTGTTGAGTATTTAGAAGGAACATTTCAAATTTGATTGACATTCGAGTTCAATATTATTATATTATTATTATAATTATTATGTTGCATCCCTGTCGGTGGATGCGTCTGCAGTTGGCAGCTTTGACGGCCCAAGAGATCAGATAATAATATTAAAACCATTTTTTTTATACCGTTTGTACGGTGTATTACCTACAGAGTGTTTATCAATGGAATTTTTTTATTGCAAAAACTAATAATTTTGAAATACATTTGTATGTATCATCAGTTTTTGAAAATCTGAGCCCAGCTACAGTTTCAGATATAATATACTCTATACAATTCTGATGTCAAATTTTCTTGTACGACGTTATTGACAAATTATAATTATCATGTTAACGATGTCAATCTTTTAGTAGTGAATTTAATTTATTTAAATTGGGAAATAATAATAAAATGGGATAAACACATCATATTTTAAGGGACTAAAAAGGGTTAATCAACTCTAATAATTAAACTATTATTATCTGTTGAAAAGATAGAACTCCACTAAGATCTACTAAGATAGATTTCTATGCAGCATTTCTTTAAAAAAAAAACCAATTATTAGTCAGTGGTTTTTTATCAATGTTTTTATTTTATATTGCGTCGAATTTTGTGCAATTACCATTCACATTTAGTTGCAACGTTATATCTGAAATAAATAGCGCATTAACTTTAAGTGGGATTTTGTAATGCACCTGGAACGATACGCAGCAATAACAATACATTTCCATAACAATTTAAAAGCACATTTAGTAGATAAAGGAAAATAAATATATTTTATTACATTTTGTTTGAATGTGTGTACAGTTGTGTGCATTGGTATACGGTTTATTATTTTAAAAGATTTCTAATAAATCTTCAAAGTTCTACAATAACCTACATTAAGCTCAACATTACTCGACCATCATGAATATGAACTAAACATGATGACTGACTTACTATGACCCAGTAGATTTCTCTTAGAATTCTATTAATTATTCATTTTGTAGTTTTTGTCAGCTAAAGTAACAAAAAATTGATCAATAACTTTCGTCATTGAAAATTTCCTCTTGTCATTAACTTTGACCTAACTCAGTCGAGTGTTTTTGGATATGGCTAATTGAAACCTACCTATGTTTTTTTACCAAATATTTACCCACTGGGATTTTTTTGGTTTGGGTGCATCACTCACTATGTGTTTGGTGCAAACATTAGTGCCCTGTACTTAGCTGCAGTTTGTCACGGAAATAACACTATTAATACATTTAATTAAGTATTATCTAATTATGAGTTATATGCTTAGTTTTTTGTACCATATATTAGTTCTGATTATCGTTATTTTATTTTATAGGCACAATTTCCAAAATTTGGGAGCCGAAAAATCCACTGAAGGTAAGTCACATTTGGTGTATTTATAAAATTATAAATGTTGGTTTTGAAAAATATTTTTCCCAGGGGTTTTATGAGCTTGTAAGCCGGGCAGTGGCAAAATAAAAAATTTAATCTCACTTGGTTTTCTGTATGTAGTCACGTACACATGCTCAAAAAAAAAAAACACAGGCGTGGATTTAATTTATTATTATGTAATATTTTTCAAAAAAGCATCGTCCGTCATGTTGGTGTAACATTGTTGTTCCAAACAACATAATTTTTATTCTCTCTTCCGCCTTGTTTTTTATTTTTTTTTATAAACCTTTATCAAGCTGAGGAGGGTTCAGACGAGAAATCCTGAGGAAATAAATATCCATATGTTAGAGGTGCCTTATTTATCTGTCCGTCGGCTTAACCCTATCCGGTAGTACAAGTGGATGAAATCCTCTGCAAACGAATACAGATATTGCGCAAAGCGATAGAAAAAGTCAAATAAATCGTTCAAAGGCGGTCAACGACAAAAGATAATGCAAACGTTTAGCTAAAAAACTCAAAATCAGTTTCATCGATTAAACGGGCAATTACCTTAAATCGTATAAAAAATAAGACACAAAAAAAAAATCTGATTTGTCTACATAATTAATGAAATTAAAAACACAAGTTCCCGTTTGAATAAACAAAGCTCATAATTCTTTTACGTATAAGGCGTGGAGATGGAAATGTTCAAAGTATTGAAAAATATAGTAAAACATGTACCTATACATCTATCTTACATCAGATGGGTGACCCTGTGTTATGACCGGAAGTAAATTATTCTGTACCTTTTATAGGCCTAGTATGTTTATTGGCTTTTTCTGTAAAAATCAGATTTAAACATTCGTTTGGACAAACTAAATTAACATTATTGTATTTGTTTTTTTTAACATTAATAAAACATTTTCTTTAATCCAAAGTTTGTAAGCTTCCATTTTCATAAATATTCTTAGACAACGTTGGACAATTTTAAGGGGAAAAAATATTATTATTATAATAATTATTGAGCAAAACGTTTTCTTCGTTGGTAAAGTCTTAAGGTGGGAAAATTCTGGACGAAATATAAATTAAACATTGCGATTATCGGAATGCGCGGCAAACCGATTGTCTTGTTTTCTCCGAGAAAGCTACCCTGGTGTATAGTATAGGGGTGAGGGGTGGTTAAAAATGCGTTATACGACCAGTGGGTACCGGTCATAAAACACAATAAACGACAGCCAGGCCTAAGCCAGGGTCTGCTGCAGCCCGGAAAGCCCGGGGAGAAAAGTCCGGCTAAAAGGGGGAAAAAAATCATTTAATAGATTCCTCGCCTCGCATGGCACAGCGCTGGTTCTCACCTGTCGTGTAATTGAAACCGTTGATTTATATTTACACATAAGTCTGGCTGGGATATATCTCGGCCGGTGAGATCGCTTGCTAGCAAAAGGCATTGACCGCATTGGGAGAGATAAAATAGCCAAAGGAAACCCAAAGGAAGTGTACACTGGAAATCTTATATGATATCTCTTTTAGAAATGCCATTTTAATACATTAATACACGAACAAAATTATGATTACTATTTCAATTTACCGAGTGGTGCACCATATCTACCTTGTGTATTGTGGTTGTTTGATGAAAAACAAAATGTATCTATCTACAAAGAAGAGTAGAAGGAATTCTTAAAGTATAGATGTATTTTTTTTTTTCAAGTCTGATTTAACTGTGAAACGAAAACCCGTGAATAATGTATGTTAATTGTAAACAACCGGGCCAAAAGTTCAAATGACGTCACACCATACATTTGCTAAACAGTAGATATTCATCTGAATCCAACTTTGTAGAGCTTAAACTTTATCACGGTCATATTTTCTTGAGGAGAAATTCTAAATTGTTTTCCACAAAACCTTTTAGTCTTATATTTCGAGTACCACGATTAGTTTAACTGTGTTTTTTTTTTATTGTAAATAGATTGTGGAAAAAATATGACTAAAAATAAGCCTACTCTACTAAAACGCGTTTATCCACTATTTGTTTCAACAATGTTTTCCCTTTAACCCCCACCCCCTCTCCGCTCGACAGTAATTTGTGTATAGGCATTTGTTATGAAAATTAACATATATAATATTGTAATTTTCAAATAGGTTTTTTATATTTACAATTTGTCCAAACACAACATTTTGCAACAACAGAATAACACAATTACCTGTAAAATAGAAAATATAAACAAAGACAACGTTATGGAAAATATCGAACAAGTGGTTCGTGATGTGTGATAGGGGTTTTTTTTTTTTGTTGTTCTTAAACAGATCAATAAACGAAAAGTGGTTAAAAAACGTATAATCACCGTCGATTGTGTTTTGTAAGACACGGACGATTTTTTTGTTTAAAAATTTAATATTGTTACCCGTATTTAGGTATAGACAGCCTCGACGGCAGCGTTGGGTCTTAAGCCGGCCACGACGATGATGATTATGATGATGATCCATAGAAACAGGGAAAAATATGAGTGCACTTAATAACGCTTTTATGCGGTCGGTTGGTAAAAAACAACATTTTTTTCTTTGTAAAAAAAAAATAGGTCAAAAAATATAACACAATAATTATCGAGAGGATAAAAATGTAAAAATCGGCCGACGCCGTGTATAATGTATCATTTTTGCCTTGACAGCCTAAGCGTCTGAAATTGTGTCGGATAATTTATTGTGCTAGTATATGTGAAAGATTATATATATATATATATATATATGTTTTATCCCGTTAAATGGCGCCATTATCATCGTCCGGGAGACGGGAATTTAACGATTTCGCGATATGATCTAGTCTGAACAGCCCATAGGACACGATAAAAATACCACTACAGAATATTATCCCTAATAAGACGTCATTGAAAAAAAAAACTAGGTACGCGCTAAACAAGTTCAATAATATTATTATTGTCACGGATTGAAAACAATAGCAGCCGGTTTCACTCTTTAGCCAGTGGAAATTGGGTTTCATCGAGATTTGCAAGGCATTAACACATTGTTAAAACGATTGTTAAATTAATCACCCGAAATCGGCTCGTTAAAAAGTTAATCGGCATGTTAAAATGTCAGTTTCATTAAATATGTATCTGTCATCTACTTTGAGTTATTCTCTATTGTTATCATCTATATCACTACATTTTAAAATAGACATTTGTCCGTGAAAAATAACAATCTATTTATGTAAAAATAAAATGTTTGTATGTTTGTCTGTCGGTTATGCATTAATACACCATTCATCCGATCGCCACAAGACATTCAGGAAGTTGTTGAGTACACTCCGGCAAAGATAACTGACATTGTACTTTTCGAAAATTCCAACCCTAAGGATGGGGCCGTGGTTGCCATGGTTACAAACAAAATATTTTAAATAAATAAATACGTGTTAGTAATATACAATGATGTGTTTAAATAAGATAAAATCAACAAATTACAAATAACCTTCGGTCATTCGGTCGGACGAGTGAAGCCATCAGAGTGCCTACGTTGCGCGGTACAGAACCGAAGGAGAATTTTTTTTTTTGCATTTTTTTACTTTGGTTTTTTTCATTTTTTTCGAGACTTCTAAACGGCTACTTGTCCTGCAAATATTTCACATATGAAACCAGACTTTTACACGGTACTGTGGCGGTTTTATACAGTAACCTGAGTGGTAATTTTTAGTTTCTTAGTTATTTTTGAGACTTCTTAACGGGTACAATACAATTTAACGTCACAAAGCCAATAAATAACCATAACATACACAGCCGGTTTCACCAACATTTGTTAAGAATTTAAATTATTGTTAGTTATATATAACAACTAGTTAGTGAAAATTGGGTTTCATCGAGATTGGTTAGGCTTAACTCATTGTTAAAACGATTGTTAAATTAATCACCCGAAATCGGCTTGTTAAAATGTACTGTAGTACTTATATATAATATTTATATTATTATAATTCAGAAATTGTTTTATAATTTTTGTTGACTGAGTATACTAGTAATGTATAATAATGAATTACACATTTGATGAGGAACTTCTTTCTATTGAGTATTTAGAAAACAACAGAGAAGACATCTTCGATAACCCTTTATTAGGTAAGCATAAGTTTTTTTATGCAGGTAGATTAGGTAAAAAAGAATGGAACAGACTTGCATTATAGGTTCAAATATCATAATTTATTGTATTTTCTAATTTAGATAATATTATTATGTCTTGCCTGTCCTGAGTATAACAATGGAAATAATTCTTATCACTACCTAGGTACATTTTTTTAGGCCTTCGAAATAGAAAAAATGATTTTAATGACCTTGATGACAAACTATTTTTAGAAAAGTATAGACTATCTAAAAAATGTGTTAAAAAAATGATATATAAAGTATAAGCCGAAACGTTAAAAGAAAGTAAAACAAAATGCCAAATAATAACAAATTGACTAACTAAATAATACAATCACTTATCAGTTATCACACACTTAATAACCAATGAGAACGTTGGAATCGAGGTAACCGCTTTGGTAACCCAACTAATGTTTTGTTATCTTAACAAATAGAATTTAACAATAATAATGTCATGGTGAAACTTATTTCATTTAACCAGATGTTAAATTTAAATGAATTGTTAACTAACATTGTGTTAAGAGTGTATTTAATAATAGTTGGTGAAACCGGCTGTAGGTTTTTAAAATAACCATTAGTGATTGGTTTATAACATAAACTGATAAGAACTACTGATAACAAGATGTAGTTTATTACCGTTAAGTTTGATGGTGACAACTGCACATTGCAGATACTTGATAAAAATGTGTTGGACCACACTGTAGAACACAGAAGATTAAATGTAAAAAGTAATATAATATGAAACTTTGAGAATAGATAAAGAATGGATTTAAGACGCTACAACCCTATTTGTTAAAAGGATTTGAAAGCGGACGGTTCGTAAGGAGTTTTATAAGAGCGGTATTTAAGAAAAATGGGTTTTTAATAAATAATCTACCATGGCAATTT